GATAACAAAAAACCGTGTACGCTACAATTAGTTACAATTTACAAAGTTGGGCAATCGCTGTGACTAATTTGTTGTGACAAATAGAGCAATACGAACCGGTGATTATTCCTTGAATTGTTTGACTTAAAACGATAATCGTCGATAAAGCTTGAAGCTCTAAATAAATACGCAATGCATAATAATGACTTTCCGAACTCTGTGCGTGATGCTACATCAAAATGCTTATATTGTGATATAGACATTCGGAAATATATTGAAATATACGATAAATAAGACTCCGGTAAAATGATACGGTAAATAAATGTATGTTTATTTCAGTGATATATATTAGTGTATGTGTCGTTTTTTTTTTTGCAATAGAGATAAGTGTCCGTGTGAAAGCGTCTATACGATTGTATCTGGTTACGTCATCTTCTTGGAATACTTCTCTTATCAACCATTTCCCGCAGAGTTTATCGTATATTGCGTCAGTCTAGCGATATAAACCATGCAAAGTTTCACTCCGCAATGAAATAATAAGCGTGGATAATTTAAAAGTCGTGATTAAAATCTAGGGTACATGGAAAACATCTAGCACAAGATCATTAAGAGGTTTGAGTAGTTGCATGTAGTCCAGTTATTCACACACCATAGAATTTCGGTTAATCATCAGAGATGAATTTCATTGCATCCGACAGATAAGTGGAACACTGTTACAGTACTAGTTTGATCATTATAACTTCTGGTAAGAGCCGAGACCCAAAGAGGCAAAACATATTTACGTCTTTTCATAGAGCGCAATTATAACATTTAGAAAACAAACTCAAATTTACCGGATCTACTTTCATCAACGATAGTTTACCAGGTGAGAACAAAATAAAGAGTCAGTGTGGTAAATCACAACGATTGAACAGTATATGTCAACATGATACAGGTCGTTGGGAGCTTAAATTATTAATAAAAGGCCAATTTCAGCAGTACAATTACTTTGATAAAGTCCGCGACGATAAGACAGATGTGAACTGTGTTTGTGTAACGAGCGTTTAAATAACTTTATTGTCAACATGCCTGGTAATCAATACATTGATTATCTATCAGATAGGAAATCAACACATTTTGACACGCACTTGAAGTTGAATTTACAATCGTATCTATCTTATCAAGTACCGACTAACATATATTAGTTGAGTGCTTTGACTGTGGCATTAAACTGTAGTTCTAATAAATGAACATGTTACTTCGATTCGTTCGATCATGATCATGAGTCTGATGCGACAACCACTATGCTATCAGTGACTTTACTAAGTCACTTATAGCACATGCGCTTAACATCTATGCTCGACGTAGTAAAATGTTAAAATGGATTGTTCATTTATTCATTAATAAATTAATTATTCAATTCATTCTTATGATAATTCCGTCTGTGTGTATGTCTGTATTGGGGACGAGTTTGGTATTTTATTTAGACCTGCTTATAGGAGTTATGTTATACTTGACTGATGCATATACTGTGTTTTATATTGTGAGTTCTATTTCATTGCATAGGTCAAGTACACAACAGTGGAATGTCCCGCACTAATTCACTCATGGCGATGATAATTATTGGCACATGGGCCATAAAGCACGCGATTACAATCAACTGTGATGTTTACACATCTACTTCTTGTTAACATCGAGTCGTTTGTCATATATTTTTTTTAATTAACTCGGAAATTAATATACTGATTACTAAGCCACGTGCAAACTATGGGTAGTTATTGTACATTGCAGTACTGTACGTGACGAACCTGACCGAAACCTGTTTTCTCGAGTCACGTGATATTCATGTAAATTAACGTCGTGGCCATTCCGTATATAAAACGTTCATGTATTGTTTGCGTATTAGGTTAATTGTCAAATGATGATGGATGGACTGCCAGGGTTATATTTTATCCAAATACGAGTAACACGAACTATTAACGCAATAAGTCAATCAATGCTATTCAACGACACATCCATCAAATGTAACGTTTTCATGATATCTATCATCAAGTCAAAACACCTACTTTGACGACGTAGGAATGCCAATCCACTCTAAATCAAGAGTCAATACGATCAGTTATTGCTATGTTCGTTGGAACACAGCCTGGCTACGGTATAGAAATTGTCGTTGTTATGCACCGATTTTTTTATACCCGGAGCTTATAAAAATACAACTCAAAATGATCTCTACGCTAAACGTATACGTTTATGATGTGGGTTACTGTAAACTGTGATTGCCAGCGCAAAACCAAACACAAGTAAACTTATACCAAACGTTGACACGCCACAGTTCAAATTTTGTGTAAGAAAACAATGTATTTTACACGCGCTGTATACGTACATGTAGCATGGGACCCATACCGAATACGACGCGAGATGAGGTTCCCAATACGGTGTGCCAAACATA